GGATCGTCCCAAAACGTTCATTCACCATGTTACGAGGGACGTGCGCGCGCATTGTTGAGTACCTGTTGCTCCTTATTCTGTTTAAGCCGATTTCCAACGCTACGTGAGCCGAAGCTTAACTCCAACATTTCATAACATTCCGTGAAAGCGCGCGCGTCGCCGAGGCACGAATCGCGCTTGCGCAATCGTGAACTCGCCCGTGCTCTCTTCCGGCGTAGAGACGGTGGTTCCCTGCTGTTCTCGAATCTCGATTCATGAGAACCCGCCGATTCGCGGAGGCGACGCCGCGACGCCACCACCACGCCGGTACGAAATTCGAATGACAAAATGGCGCCGCGGAGGAAGAGCGTTCAAACGTCGCGCAGATCGTTGCACGACGTTTGCTACAAGGAGAACAGTTATCTGTGCCGCCTCAACGACTATCAGACGAGGGTTCGCAGGCGGGAGAGCCTCAGATATGCCAGAACTCAGGTGAGCGCTCGAGCGCGGCGGGTCTGCCCGCGTCCTCGCGACCGGCGCGCGCGCGCGCGCGCGCGCGTGTCCGTTGACTCGCGTTTAAAGGCCACTTTGCGTCGTACCGCGCGATCCTCCTGGCTCGGCGGATCGCGGACTCCGCGAGCGACGACCTGGACCCCGCGGGACTCGCCGCTCCTCGAGAAGCCCGCGGGTCGACGTACGCGCGGTATAAACGGATAGGTTATGATTCTCGAGACGTACCAAGATCCTGAGGAACGTTCTTCAATCGAACCGTAGTGGAGTAACAGAAGTCGTGGTCGTTTGCAAGAGCCGAGGGAGCCGCTTCCTTCGGTGTATCTGACACCCGCGGCGACGGAACTCTACACGTAACAACCCAGTGAGAAATGATTCGTCGATCGACGTCGAATCGACGTCGATTCGACATCATTTCTCACTGGGAATTGCGAGGTCTCCGACGTACGCGTACGTGGCGAATAGTTGCGCGGCGTGGATTCTGAATGAAGTCCAACCGTAGAACGTAAATGCAGTGCTGTACACGCGGAATCGCGTCGTTCTGGCTTCCAGCGCTCCGAGAGTCCCGGCGGTATTCGGCGAAGCGATCGCGATTTACGCCGGCAACGGGTAGACGCCGTCGACGATCACCGACAGCAATTTTACCTCGAAGGAAGAGCAATCGGCGCGGCAACGAACGCGCGACGTTCGATATGCGTTCGCGACGCTTCCGCGAGCGGCGGCGGCGACGGCTATTTCTCATGTAGATAATTGCGCGATAATCGCTCGGGCGCGCGCGCGACGAGACGTAAAAGTCGGCGGATGCTCTCCGCGTGGGCGAGATACTCCCCTCTCCTCCCCTCCCGCCCGCTCGCTCATTCAATCTATTGTCAGAAGCGCCGGTGGTCCTCCCCCCCCTCCCCTCCCTTTCTCTTGCCCGCCCCCGCCGCCACGGATTTGCCGCGTGCGGTGCGTTGGTGCGTAGCGCTGGTGCGTTCTGTTGATGCTTACGCGGTGTCGGATGGTCGAGCGTCATTCAGTCTTGAGTCCGGTACTCCCGGGGACGGTGCGTCTCTCTCTCTCTCTCTTTCTCTCTCGGCTTCTTTCTCTCCCTGTCGCTTTTTCCTTCGCGCGACGCCAGCCAGCACCGCTTCTCGCCGCCCGCGGATTATTTTCGTTCCGCTAATTACGTGTGTGTGCGCGCGCGAGCCCGAGACTCTCTGTCTTCTAGTCCGATCTAGTCGCGCCGCGCGACCGGTTCCGTTTGTCAGAAGCGCCGGTTGTCGTCGACCCTCCGCACGATCGTCCTGGGGAGACCCCCACGTGGCGCGGAGGACGCCCCATTGTTCGGCGAAACGACGACGACGACGATCCGTGAAACCGCAGGAGTGACGACGGGAGGAGGAAGAGGAGGACGTCTCTTCGGTTTTCACGCGATAGCGGCGAAACGCACGACGTGTGGCTGGGCGTAGACCCAACACCGGAAACGGGAAAGAGTAAAAATTGGGCGGCGAAGCCGGGCAGAGCGAGGTAGCGGCGAGGAACGAGAGACGGCGTGTCCTCTCGTTTGTCGCGCCGCGCGGAGGCGCGGTGCCGTCACCGCTTATTTTGTAGCCGGCGGAAAAACGTAGGACGACCGGATCTAAGCCGACACCGCCGTGCGGCGACTCGCGCGTCGCGTCCGCCTTTGAAAGGAGTCGGGAGGTCGAGCCGACGGGGCCCGCGGGTAACGTGACAACAATATTTTCGTCGTCTCGCCCGGAGCTTGGAGGTCAAGGTTCGCGCGGTGCGCGGTCGTGCGCCGATCGGAGCGGGCCAAGTGGACGGCGAGCCTCGGTGGAGAGAGAGACGTCTACCTCCGTCCACCTTGACTCGAATCCTACCAAGGAAAGAGCGGAAGACGACCTTCTTTCTCCTTTGGCATCCGTTCAAGGCGTCGCGGGGATAAAGCGGCCCGAGACTGCTCCGTGCGAAATTGTTCGCCGCCTGACGGCACCGTACCGTGAAATCGTAGTGTCTCTGGAGGAGGCGGAAGCGAGTGATCCCGAGCGACCCATGACCGCGGACCCGCGACGATCATGCACCCTCGAGGTCGGCCGCGAGTCGTCGGGTTCCGAGTAGTCACGGGCCGGTTGGCCGGGGGGTCGACACGCGACTCGAACGACGAGTAGCAACGTAATTCGTGGGAAAGAGAGAAGAAAGGAAGGAAGATGAACTCGTGCTTCCCGCATTTGGCGCTGCTGAATCCGCGGAACGCGAACAAGTCGCGGGACCGGCGCAACGACGAGTGCAACGTCGCGAACGCCGAGGACACCCGGACGCGAACGAGGACCCCAGCGTCGTCGGGGAAGAGCGACGTCTTTCAAGACTTGGACTTGTATTACGTTCGGCAGATCGCACGGAACTCGAAGGTAGGCTCGCGCGACCGAGCCCGGTCTGATTCCGCGAACACCGTTGTCGAGTGTCTCACTGCGAGAGATAGCGCGTTCCCTGGTGGAACGACGTATCACGAGGACATCAAAGCGACGTGGAAATGACGTTATTGTAGCTTCTAAGTAACGATAATAAAGTCATTGTGACGTCATCACGATGTCGTAAGGCGCGATATATTGGCGTAATATTGGGAAATAAATCTCAGGGTGTCCAGCGGTCAGGGAAATCTGGAAAACCGGGAATTGTCAGGGAAAAGTCAGGCATTTTTACGATTTATCTGGAGTTTTTACATCGTCTCGCATTTTTTTCTGAATAATTTAAAGTTCTTAGAAATAAACTTTTCTTCGGCTCTCGGCGCACTAATTTTCTGTTTTGCTAAACATCAATTTATTTATAAGCGAGATCGGTCATTTACATTTTCATCGTCGTGTTATTTTATTTCAATGTGTTCATCCGAGACAAAACTATAAAAAAAAAGGTGAATCACTAAACAGTGCTATCTAAGCGAGGTACTATCCAGCAAATTGCAGACAAAATGCAGACAAAATGCAGTTAAGCAAAACGAAAGCATCATATATGATTGCGTACGGTATCACAAATTGTTCGAATGGTTTGTAATGATATGTTCGTTCCTATTGCACAATGTATTATACATAGATAGTATAATTGCTTTGATGTAAATTTTTACCATTTTTAATTCGGGACTCTTGCTTCGTCATTTAACATTTACTTGATTTACCATAGAGATGTACGCAAATTATGCATCTTAACGAAAGTTGCACCAAACGGTCAGGGAGAAATTAATTCCGGCTGCTGGAAAAGCTGAAAAAGTCAGGGAATTTTTCTCATCGAGTCTGCAAGATTCAGGGGAAGAGATTCTAATATAACCAACATTGGACTAATATTTAGCAATGTTTAGCAATGCCACTAGGGTTGTTTTCTAATCTGACAATTCGGACTTTGCATTGCAATGTCTCCACTCATGGGGCACGTAGGAGAAAAATAGAAACACTTTTATTATGCAAATCGAACCCGAGCTATCGATTGAGCGCACTTGGAAGTTGGTCGGATCAGCTGTTGTTGAGATCCGAAGATCTGAGGGCCCGTCAACTCGCGTATACTCGCGTAAACTACATGGTCGGTCTCATGCGTGCGCTCGGTTCTAGCTATTTGGCGCGAGACACTACCGTGCCTCGTGATTGTCGCATCGGTGAACCAGTGCGATAGACTAGAGCTTACTGGTAAATTTTTTTTGTCATTCTAGCTTACTGCGCTAGTTCACCAGTGCGGCGATAGAAAAGAAGCCTGCTATGAGCTTTGTGTTCCAAGTGGGTTTCTCAAAATGCGCCTTCGTTTACTGATTTTACGGGAGATCCACTGGGGATGACTTGGGCCGAGTCGCGATTATCAATTAATAGAATCGAGTTACGAGGAAACGATATTGCGTTATCTCGTTAAGGCGAACAGGATTATAAATTTTTCGCTGGCTGGGAAGACAGATTGGATTAGGAAGCGCGAATTGTACGGCAATTCTGCCGGCTGAATCGGTCGTCGATTGAGTCGAGATCGGTGCTTGGTCCAAGTCGCTCTTGAAGGTTTAACTCGCGTCAAATTTGTGCGAAGGGGAGTCGAGTTATTGTACGTGAGTGGCCGCCAGCGTTTCCCCGCGTTCGTCGTTCGTATTTTTAGATGTCGCGTGTGGATGTCACGTCGGTTGAGCGCACGGGTGGCAATGTTGAACGAATCTCTCAAATCTCGGTCGAGATCACTGGCGATTCGCGGGTCGATCGGGTCCCCGTGAAAAGCCCGTGGCGTATCAGTATCTTTTGTTACTCGCGTTTGCGTTTACCTGCACAGTCGCTTATCAATTCATTTTGGCGCGCAGCGACTCGACCGCCCGTTGGTCTTACGCGCGAGTTGTACGCGCCTCGCGAAAAGTTTCACGCGTGAAAGGAAGATGAACGCGCGCGGTGACCATTACGGTGCACAACTGCACACGGGGTATTGGATTTCTGGCGACTATTTTCGGCGGACAAGCCGTCGGGAAAGCGCCGGCGACGCGGGAGAAAGCGATATCGAGAGGGAAACACGTAGGGACACGAGGGACAGCGAGGCGACGGGAAGATCGAGGGAAGACCGTGACGAGATTACGTACGAGCGGAACGGGAGGAATGCCTCGCGCTGACGAAGCTTTGTTAACGCCGACGACGCACAAGGTGTATCGCGCGCATCCGGGGAAAAAGTCTCGGGAGAGACGAGCCGAGAGAGGACCGAGCCTGCTGTACACGCGCGCGAATGTGTTACAACGCGTATTTACGTGAACTCACTTGTCGCACGGCGCGCTTCAACGAGTTTCATCAAGACTCGTTACAGCACTGGCGACGCGGAGGTCAGGGATTAAATGTGGCCGCGGTCGCCCTTGCGCCGTTGCAAAATTCCTATCCGAGACTACGCGACGGCGGGATATACGTGGACATATTCCTGATAGAGTTCCGCGCCTCGCGCCGGGCCGCGCCAAGCGTGAGGATGTGTCACGGTAACGCTGGCGGAATACGAAATCGCTCGAATGCGCGCAATGAATCATCTCGCCATTATTGATTTCACTGATGCGTGCGTTATTTTCGGATCATACGCTTCATTCGGGCATCGCGGAAAATTAGCGGACGCGTGCGAAAAGCGACGCGAGCGAGCGAGCGGGAAATCTCGAAGAGGACCGACACTTGACATTTAGTTTTTTACGTAATATACGAGATACACCGAATGCCTCTTACGTAAGAGGTGTACACCGGGCGAGAGAGTATTTAGAAGAAAGTCCCCTATTATGAGACGGGGTCCTAATATGGGATAGCGGGGTTTCCGTTCAATTAATCGGCATCATTTGGTTCCCTCGTGAATATTCATTGCCCTTGGAGCGAAATCTGTTTAGTTGAAAAGTTCTTCGTTAGACGTGCGCGTCGCCGTTGCGAAAACAGATTTGTGAAACTGGACGTCGAAAACCCGCTACACTGATAAAAATTTGAACCTCGTTTTACTGTGAAAATCAGTGGTCATTTTTAATCTTCGAATTGCGCTGTTAAAATAAAAAGTGATTTGTAATTTTACTGCAAAACGTTAAAATTACCATTCAAATGAAATTATGTTTCCGTTAAATATTTTTTCAGTTTACTGTCGGATGTTAAAAATGCATGATTTATGGTGACATTCCCTTTAAGATAGTGAATTTACGGCGCGTACAGCATACTAGGATGATAAAATTCTCTATTGCGCACACTCCACTTTACTGAAATACTGCGATATCACGAACAAAATAGTAAAATCCCATGTCGGACTGTAAATTTACTGTACAGAAGTGAAATTTAAGCACATGTATGAAATGTTATGGATGAACCGGAAGCTAATTTACAAATTATGTGACTAAAACTACCAGATTCAATTAACTTTTCATAATATTCCTGTGTTTTTAATGAAACCAAAGGGAAAAAAAATGCAAATTTTATGTAAAAACTCGTGAAAATTCAGGCAAATTTACCAAGAAATAAGTAAAATTCCTTTGTAAATTCGCATTGATTTTTATCAGTGTAGCTCATATCCGGAACTTAACTCATAATAGGCGACCTTCCTTTATAAGAACGGAAAAGAGTTGGAGAAATAGACGCGCGACTCTTTCGAGGGCGTTTCGTAGGGTCGAATGCGATCTCGTGCGAGCCTACAATAAAGCGGCAGCCACGGATCGATATCCCTTGATGTTAGCGTGGTCTCCCGAGGGGTAGGAAGGAGGAGCACAAGCGAGCCAATTTGTCGAGGTGAACGTCACCCCCTCGTGCATTCGCCCACTTCCCCGAAGAGCCGTTATTTCAGTCCGTTTCTGCGTTCTGCTAGCAGGCTACCTCGCGAGAGCCGCGCCGATTTATTTACGCTTTCGCGAAGTTTGTTTCTCGCCTTCGAGTGGAGCTTCCATTCACCTGGCCCCCGCGTATCGCGCCGCGCGCGACCGGCTAACGTAAACGCGACCGAGCTGCGCTTTTTACATGTCCAAGTCTCAAAAACGGACGAGCGAGAAGACCACGTTCTCCCAGGTTGCTGTTTATTTTATATACTTGTATACCTGTGTATGTGTGTATGTACTTGTGTGTACCTGCGTAGCGTTACGACTCGTGAGAGCTCTACGATTCCGCGACGGAGTTTTCGAACCAGTACATTTTACAAGTCGGGTTTTACAAGTTTACGGATATCTCAGGGGGACTCGTAAAACGATTCGTCCGCAAAATGTGTAAGACGTTTCGTTAGGTGTGTAACCCGATGCCCTGAACGCGTGATGAGGCCACGTGCTGGCCAGCCAGTCGTTTTATCGCTGACGCTTCGATTTTTCTCCGATCGTAATTATCGGTCGCTCCGTCGTTTCTTTTTTTACATCTGTATATTCAGCACCCGCGCGGACACCGGTGCGAGGTGATTACGCTTCCTGCGATCATATACGAGTATGCGAGTAGGTCCTTGAATAGCTTCTGTTTAAACTTGGACGATTATTCCGACGAGGATTTTCGGGCCGACGACGCGCGAAGTCGATTTAGCTAGAAACGCTAAAGCCTAGTCTACAATGTGCTTTTTGCGATTAGAAACACTCTATTTTGTGTAGGCAAATCAATACGCTTAAAAAATGTATCGATATTGTACGACTGTACAATTGATCAACTTGCAGAAATTTTGTTAAACGTATTTTTATTGGCCACAAAGTAGAATGTTTCTAGAGCACATTGTAGATCGGGCATAAAGGCTGAATTATGTATGTTGCAGGAGCATGACCTCGAGCAGAAGATCGAGGTGGAGATCAAGATGAGAGAGGGCTCGGCGAGACTTCTGGCAGCCGCGAAGCATCGCGCCCAGAGCCTGGAAGCCGCCAAGGCGTTGCTCACGTCCAACGAGAGGATGTCGGTCTACATGGCCGAGTTGCACAGCCGCCGTCACGAATCTGTTAAACAATCATGGTTCGTTTGTGCGCGTGTGGAGATAACGAGAGGAGAAATCTTTGTGCGTATCGTCTAACGGTAATTGCTCGTTTTCAGCACTTCTGGAAGTACCAGAAGCACAGGCAAATTGTCGATCTCGGATCTTAGGATACCGTTAATGTGGAGAGACTCCGATCACTTCAAGAATCGCGGCGACCATCGTCGGTTCGCCGTATTCTGCTTGGCACGACTGGGCACGGAAATCCACGACACCTCCTTGCTGTGTCCCATCGACAGAGCTCATACGGATCTCAGTTTTCCCGACGTGTTAATATTGTAAGTCCCGACGCTTATCGTCCTCGTGTCAGACTCTGCTTCAGGCGAGAGCAAATATTTGTAATCGTACTGAAAGTATGTACACAGCGATCTCGTTTGTGAATTGTAAATTTTCGTATCTGCTTCCAGCAATAATGTGCCAGCCGAATTTGAGTTAGTCTTAGAAATCTACAGTCATGTTTTGCAAGAGGACTTGAGTATCGCCAGCACGCCGAGAAGAATCAAAAAGACCATTCACTCGTCGATCTCGAAAACTGTGGGCAAGAAGCTCGCCGCTTCGCTTCGTGATGAATTCGGTTCCGCCAAATCGTGAGTCTCTCCTCTCATGAATATGTAAATTAACCGAGTCTCCACCCACATGGCATTTGCAATTATATTTTACGTACTCTCTTTTCAGCGGACCGCACTTTGATTTGGTAGCTCGCGCAAAACTGACCTTGGACGACACGGACGACAACACACACACGCACGACCTTCTTATTAATAGCGTTGGTAAGTTGCGCGAGAAACCTGTGGCGTACTTCGAAATACTTACACGACAATTGTTTCCTTCAGAGAACAAGTATCACTCTTTACCGCTTTTCGGTCACTTTTGCTGCCGATTGGCGGTGCAGCCAGAATGCATCAATAAGGACATGTGCATTGGCAATCTGAAAGTAGATAGTCAGGATCATTGGGCACGCCTGCAAGGATTTTGTTTAAAAATATGGGAATCAAAGAAGCACGCGGAGGAAAGTCAAAATCCGGAACACATGGTACCCGTTAACAAAGTTGGTATCTGTTGTATGTACACGTAGACATAAAATGCTTACAAAATTGCTTTATTTAAATTATGTTTCTTTATCTGTTTTCTAGAGAACAATCGTTCAACCGTCCAAAACTTCCGGCAAAGAACTTTTGGTCAATAATTCTGGGAACGGCATGGAAAAACTGTTGCCGATTAAATTTGAATCAAAGGAGGAAGCTCAAAAATGGTCGAGGCTTTTGTTGGCGCACATTAATGACCATTCGAGGTGGAAACATGCTGTGGAAGTACTTCAAAGGGTGTCCAACATTGAAAGCACGAGAAATTCCTTTATCAGTAATAAAAGACAGGGCTCCTTGTACGACGAGACACCTTTGATAGGTAAACGTGCACAAGTAATCGTGTAACTTCAAGTTATAAAATTTAATAAACGCCACTTTAGAAAAGTAGATTGTTAATTAATTTTTTTCGTTGCAGAATCAATCCCATCGGATTACACTTCCGCGAGACCTACTGTACAAACGATCTTTGATCTCACACCTAGTACTAGTCTAAGCAGTTGTAGTTCCACGAATAGCCTAGCGAGCTTACGTTCACGTTCATTGAGTATCAGCGGCGTGTTTAAGCATGGTGCCATTTCTTTAAAGCCCCACCTGGCTCCTGCTAATAAAAAGGCGTAACGACTTTGTAGTTCTTTACGAAGAATCTATTGTACAAATGTCGAGGACTATTGATGAGTATGGCTAAATATTTTTTAACTTGGATATTGATGTGTATATTTAATTGGTAATTGAGATCGAAGAAAGATTAATTGATTATAATTAACCGAGGAGACTTGTAGGGAAGATTTTAATTCGGTTGAAAGTGTAATGTGTATCGATTTATTAATTCGATTTGTATGGAGTTTTTTTTATATAGGGTTACACAGTACAAAGGATATTGATTAATTTCTCTTCTTTTCTACTTTTATAATGCGAAATTTTGTATAATCGCTAAAAGTACAAGGACAGCCCTATTGTATAATGAGTTTATAAGTTGTTAGAAAATACATAGGAGCATTGCAATATTTAGTACGGCTGTAAGAAGATATTAATATAGATTTATATATAATATATATATTTAATATAATAAAAATATATGACTGCATGCATATATTTGCCGGAACACAATTTGCCTTTTTAAAAACCCTGTAATTTCTGTACACACAATTTGAAAGAAAAAATTTTAATTGATTGAAACGTTACTTGTGTGTTATATTGGAGTGACGAGATTAAGGAGATTTTAAATGAAGATATCTGCTTACAATTTGCATCGGTTGTAGATATTTCATTTTGAGTATCAATTTATATACATTTTCCACAACATACGCTAGGGTAATTTATATTAAATTAAATGGAAAAAAATTGTATTCATTCACATTAGGTACATCGTACGCGACAATAACAAGTAGCGTAGCTCATATACTACAAGGGATACTTAAATCTATGAATCAATCTCTACTTGACTTTTGCAGAAACATAAATCCTACAACCATGCAAATAACAGTAAACGACTGCGCAGCAACACGAGCGCGCATCATCTGCTGTTGCCTCTTTACGTTGCCCGTGTAAAGGTTGACAAGTCCAATAGTCAGAGCTGCTGTAGTCGCTAGCGTTCCTGGAAATGCAAATACATGGAAAATAATGTCTCCTGTCAAGGAACAGTTTCTCCTATTTCTTATCCCTCTTCCCGGGCTGCGTCGCCGCATTTCTCGTCACAGATCGGGAAGATTTCGTATAAGTTCTATCTCGGCTCGCGGAACATAGGTTAGTTTACCTATCGGCACGAGCGGATTCTCCATCGATTTACGCTTCGCCCTCTGCAATATCGTCTCGTTAACATAAATGTTGTCCAGATCTTCCCGTATCTTCACCCAGTCCAATTCGTCATCCGGTTTTGTGCCTGCCATCGTTTAGCAAAAAAGATTCGGGGTCTCACATCACAAACTGCGTTAATGGCACCGAGCTGACGTCCACTGACGTCAGAATGGTCACAGTCAGACACCACGTGCAAAAAGAGTTTCCCGCGTTTCCCGCGTGTCGCGGTCAGTGATGCAAACTTCGCATCTCTGCACGGCTGCCGTACGCGTGGAGAGGATAAGGTGGGGATAGTTTTTTCCAGCAACTAAAATTCCGATAATTTCAAACTTCAAATCGCGAAAATCGAGAATCTCGAAAACTGGCAAAGTTATATCAGGAAAACATGATCGACAAAGAGGAACTATCTAA